AGCCCGGAAGCTCCCGCGAGCCGGCACGGAACGGCCGCGTTCCCATAGAGATCCGGGGCGGGGCCACTCCCGGCGTACCCCGCGCCCCTGCCGCATGGGACTACATCTCCCGTCAGGCCCCGCCCCCCGGACTACATTTCCCGTCAAGCCCCGCGCCCAGCGAGGACTGCGCCTCCGGGCATGCCCCACGCGCCAGTGGCCAAGTGCCCGCAGGTGTTGGGCGCCCAGGGGTGGGAGGCAGGCAGCACGCCGGTTACAATCATGGGGCAAGCAATCAGGCCTCCTAGTACGGATGATATCTTCTATTAGACCACCAAGATTTTTGCTAAAAAAACCGCTTCAATTGCCAGATGAAGGGTGTACGCAGCCAAAGCTTGTAATATTTGTTGTTGCAAAAATCGTGTTGGTCTAATAAAAGACATCACCTGTCCTACGAGCCCCTATTGGGTTTTTTAAAACTTCGATATGTAATGCAGCCAGTGGGCAACCCTGCCAGAGGTCTGTGTGTTTTTGCTGCAATCCTACTACTCCAGTGGTGGGCCCCCGGCGTATTAGTACAGCCTCCTTTGAACAGGCACCTGCATCCACCCATGGTCACGTCTGTCTGTGCCCTTGCTCCATTGCTGATCCACAATCCTGTTTCCTGACAATGTTCTCGAGCTCTTCAGGCCCCCAGGACCAACGGTGCCTGGATCAAGCCTTGGGGCTGGGGGTGTCTTTTGTGGCCCCAGGCAGAAAGCAGGAAACCACCCAGCCAGGCAAAAGTCATTTATTGGAATAAAACAAACCAGAGACATAGCTGAAAATGTGGAGGTGGAAAGGTCCAGGCAAAGGCCCTGATCCCCGCCCCTGGTGGAGGGCCGAGCCCCATATCTCCCCCCCCCCCGCGTCAGGAGGACGTGGCACAGGGGGTCTAAGGGGAGGGGAACTGGGCTGTGTAACTTAAGCACCGTTATTACTCCCAGTTGGGGAATAAAAAGCTTCCCCCAGCAGCACTTGACTGTCCAGGGGTCCGTCCCTGTCCTGCCCAGCAGCTGCACCCGCCGTCCCACCTGAGCCAGGGAGACCATCCCCAGCCCAGCTGCGGTGGGGATGAGACTCCGATTCCCACCCTCAGCTGCTGACAGCGGTTCCTGACTTGTCCAGGCTGCTGTGAGACCCCAGAAATGGGGCAGGACATGTGTGGAGCACAGTCCCTGTCTCACAGTGACTTGGGCTCTTCCCTGCTGAATGAAACCTTGACTCCCCATGCTCAGCCCACGGGACTGGGCACTTCTGTGAGGGACAGAGACCAAGGAGACCCTGGCTGGACTAGGGGACATGAAGGCACATCCTGGGGCTACAAGGCCTCTTGAGAGGACAAAGCTGCGAGCGGGGACCCGCTCAGGGCCAGGATCTCCCTGCCTCCTGGTACCGCGATGGAAAGGAGGCATTTCAGTTCCTCTTCTCCATGCCCTGGGTGTCCCCAGTCCTCACGGGAACACTCTCTATCAGCTCTTGATGGCTCAGGTGTCCAGTGCTCTGGGCCATCCTGAGGAGATGAGCAAGGTGGCGTCCCTGAGTCTGGGCAGGCTCTGGAGTGTCTCCCCGGAGCGGGCAGATCCGGCCCCCTCAGGCACTGTGTGTGGGCCGGAGGAGATGGATGAGTTTCTCACAGTGCCGGGCCGAGGCAGGGCGGGGGCTGCGGGAGAGACTGGCCTGGAACCCATCGAGGGATGCGGCCCCCAGCTTCTCGCTTGCCTTGAGAGACACCAGCACCTGGGAGAGGAATGGGAAGCCACGCCAGTCACACAGCACCCCCCACCCCCAGCCACCACCTTCCCTGCCAGTTAACCACCCTTGGCAGGGGGAGGCCCCTGGCCCATCCCTATATCCCCTGCTGCTGCCTTGCCTTCGGTTGTCACTGACTGCCAAAAAAGGGCAACCCCAAACTATGGCAGTGAGGGTACATGCAGGCTGCAGCTGTGGGGGGAGAACAGGCCTGGCATGGAGCTGGACGCAGCTGGGGGGATTAGGGACATTTCCCTGCTGTGCCACTGACCCACCACAGGGCCTAATCCTGTCTCTTCACAGGCCAAATCCAGGCCATGGACTGGAGGTTACCAGCCCCTGAGCTAGGTGACCTGCAAGAGTGCGCACCCTGCTGCACCGGTACCAAGAGTGGCGCAGGCAGCCTGTGTGTGGCATGTAATAGATGGAAGAGAGGACAGGGAGAACCATGGGGCAGGGAGCAGAAGGCGGAGCAGGGGATCAGACAGGGAGCAGAAAGCAGAGCAGCTGCT